TACCACTTATATAATTATGTAGTAATAATTATATAAGTTTATATAAGATGATCTGATGTCACCTTATAAAATGTTTCTGGTTCCTATTAAATTGTGGTTCAATATATTTACAGCAAATATACCTTTATTGTTTTAAAGACAGATAAGATGATGTCTTTGAAAGCATTAAAATTATTTTAAGTTTTTTACATGATTTCCAAAAGATAAAAAAGAGAGTTCAATAAGCAAACACACACACACTTTCTTACCAAAAGAAATCCCATGTCTTTGCTTACTGCTTTTCACATATATCATGCTATTTTGGGTACATATTGTGTATTTCAAATTAAATAATGAAAAACAGTACTACTTACTACTTACAAAAAGAATATTTTATATTAGAGCTATATATATCACAGTAACTTCCTCTTTTTCAATAGAAAAAGATGCACTTTTATTTTTCATTGGCTTTCATAATATACCTTGAAATGTGTATTAACACATGTTTGAATTTTAAAAAATGAAGTCACACTTTTTCTATCAGAAGCTTTAATTTGGCTGATAGTTTTGCAAATTAAGTTTTAGTCTGCCATTCTAAGTGGACTGAATTATAGAAATCTATAGTTCTAAGATTTTGATGAAAATATCTTTAAAAAATGAGATTATGGATGTTTATCAAAAATTATCATATTAGCAAAGCTGTTTTGAAATTAACAATATATTTATTTTCCCCAAACTTTCTAGTTATATTGGTTTTACAAGACGCCTCTAAGTAAAACAGCAACAAGTATAATTTTTCCATAGGACTGCTAAAGACTTTTTGGTGTATTTCCCAGAATCTGAGAAAGTGAATGACTATAATATCTGTATGACAGAACATTTTGTAAATCAGGTTGTTTCCAAATCTTTGCTTTCAACAAAACTGAAAGCAGATCTAATTGAGTTGTCGGCTGACAGGTTATTAACATTTATGATAGATAATTACATTATTTTTTACAGTATGACTCATAATAAGTTCAAATAATTGACATGGTTCTAGCAAAATACTCCATTCTCATCCATTTTTTTATATGAACAATATTCTCAGCAGCTTCAGCTATACAAATAAAAAGCAGGAATAGGATTGGTGCTGCACTCATAGTTTTCTAGCAATAATAATTATTTTTCCACAGATACATAAACTAATTGAAAAACACTCAAACATATTTTACCAAATATGGTTTTGGTAAAAATTTAATATTTATGCTTAATAACCATTCACCAAAATAATTATGTTGCCTTGACCAATTTTGTACTGCTTATAATGGTACAAATAGCTCAATTCAGAATGAAATGTTTTACCACTCAGAGTCTTTTGGCCACAGAGAAAAAATGTCTACATTTTGATGTATATTTTGTTGTAAGGAAATATGATAGGGCAATAGAGAAAATATTTTCAAATATCAAACAATGCATTAGGATAAAACTCTGTAGAGTGTATTGGAAACCCGCATTGAAGCTGGAAAGGGAACAATGTAAAATTTCCGACTACTATAATAGAACTTCTCATGTAACTTTATACTGATGATATTGGTGCCTATCAACCTCCTTTGATATTTGTATTTTTTGAACAGTTATATTTTAAAATATCAATATTTACAATAAACCAAACATCACATCATTTGCTACAATTCAAATTTTAAATGAAAACATTTAAATACTATCACTAAAGAGTGCAAGAAATTACATAGTTTGTCAAGATTATTTTCGGGGGTACATCAACAAAAGAGTTGCTTTAAAGAAATTCTTACACCTGTGCACATGGAGAAATCGAAAGAACATCATTCTAACATTGTTTGAAATAAGAAAAACTTAAGGAATAACTAAATATCCATCAACAGGAGAATAGGTAGGACAAAAATGTATATATGCAAATGGAATACTACTGTACAGGAATTAAAGTGGTGAACCAGATGCGTGTCAACTAACACGAATGGGTGTCAAAACCATAATGTTGATAAGAAAGATATATTATTCATATAAATGTTTAAAATAGCAAAACATTTAAAACTAGAAAATACAGAAAAAATGTTAAAGCAAATATGTAATTAATAAACATCTATTTTTTTTTAAATTTTTTTTTTCAACGTTTTATTTATTTTTGGGACAGAGAGAGACAGAGCATGAACGGGGGAGGGGCAGAGAGAGAGGGAGACACAGAATCGGAAGCAGGCTCCAGGCTCTGAGCCATCAGCCCAGAGCCCGATGCGGGGCTCCAACTCACGGACCGCGAGATCGTGACCTGGCTGAAGTCGGACGCTTAACCGACTGCGCCACCCAGGCGCCCCAACATCTAATTCATAACAGAGGTGAATCCTTGAGAGAGAGAGAGAAGGAAAACTGAGATTGAGGAGGGATACACAAAGACTTCAACTGAATCTGTCCTTTTTGTTTTTTTCTTATTTAATAAACCTGAGGCAGTTACAGCCAAATTCTAGGGTTAAAACTTCTTAAAGCTGGGAGAAGGGCACATGAGTGGTCATACACATACTTGCACAGTTGAACGATTTCATGATAAAAAAGCTAAAAGAAAATGATAGTACAATGTATCCTAAAATAGTGGAGAGAGGAATATATACATATATATATTGTATATATATATATATGTGTATATATATATATATACACATATACAATGGATCATAATAAAAAGAGAAAGAAAAATACAGAGAAAACACAGTAAATTAAAAAAAACACAAAATGAGATTGTGGAAGTAAGTTTAAATATATCAATAATTACAGTATTTGTAAAGAGAATAAACTCACTATTGAAAGACAGAGATCCTCAGATATTTTTAAAAAATTTTTAACATTGGGGCGCCTGGGTGGCTCAGTCGGTTAAGCATCCGACTTCGGCTCAGGTCAGGATCTCACGGTCCGCGAGTTCGAGCTTCGCGTCAGGCTCTGGGCTGATGGCTCAGAGCCTGGAGCCTGCTTCTGATTCCGTGTCTCCCTCTCTCTCTGCCCCTCCCCCGTTCATGCTCTGTCTCTCTCTGCTTCAAAAATAAATAAAACGTTAAAAAAAAATTTTTTTTAACTTTTTTTTAACATAGTATTTTATTTTTTGAGAGACAGAGAGTGACAGAGTGCAAGCAGGGGAGGGACAGAAAAAGGGAGACACAGAATCTGAAGCAGGCTCCAGGCTCTGAACCACCCAGGCGCCCCAGACTTTTTTAAGCCAGCCATGTAAGGCTTACAAGGGAAACAACTTAGACAAAAGGACACAAAAAGGTCAATAACGATAAAAGGATTTAAGAAATACCCAGCAAGTAATTTCCCAAGGGAAGCTATTGTGGCAATACTAATGATATATAAAATGGAACTTAAGGCAAAAGGCAATAATGAGGACAAAGAGAGACACTACATAATCTAAAAGACCATTTCACTAAGAAGATTGAAAAGCCATGAATTTATGTGCATTTAACAGTGTATATACAGAAAGCAAAAAACCTGACAGAAGTATAATGAGATGATGACAAACCACAATCATAGAGGAAGATTTTTACCTTATTTGTATCACAGTATAATAAAGTAACTCCCTCATGCCTCAAATCCTTAAGATATAGAAAACTTGGGACAACCAAATTCACACTTATATAGAAGAACTCTGCAAAAACCAAAACCAAACCAAACCAAAGTATATTTTGTTTCTGTGTGCACATAGAACAATGACAAAAAGCTAGCATGGGCTGGCTTTTAAAAGAAGTTTCAAGAAATTCCAAGTCACCATCACACAGATCACATTCAGTTCGCAAAATAAAATAAAATTAGAAAACAACAATAAAATAACAATTTTTAAGTACTAACATATCTTTGAAAACTTTTTTTTTAATGTACTCTTAAAATAAGGGGAAGGGACTCTCAGGTCCTATCAGTCCAGTGTCTAAAATAACTGATGTTAACTTTGAGTTGATGTTAAATTTGTTAAGGTCCACCCCAAACAATGGCAATAACATGTAGAATCCACTAGATGTCAGTGTTACCTTATATTTATTCTCAGTTGTCTGCATGGTGGAGTCCAATTACACAGACCGACCAGTCCAAAGAATTAGATTTCAGACGCGGTCCTAAGCCCCTTAGAGTTCACTCAAATATCTATAAATAATATTTGTAGTAAATAATTTTAATGTGCTATACAAATGTAAATTTTTATCACACAATATTTTCCTAAATCTCTTTCTGTGTACTTCCCATATTTTTTAGCTTGCTAAAGCAGTTTGGTATAATTTTATAGGCCTTTAAAGAGACAAGGCAAGACAAAAAGTATTTCCCATTGCTTTGGGATCGAAAAAATCCCTGTAAATTCTTTAATTCATAGATGGGCATAAAATGAGTTCCTCTTAGAAACAGCTTCTGATAAAAGTAATCCTAATATTAAAAGAGATCTTGAAAAACCATCTATTCTAACTGCCTGTATCTTAAAAACTGATAAACGGGTGAGTATTCTATTTTTAAGGCCTGCTGGGAAGGAAATCATCGGTCAGGAAGTTCTTCTTCCTGTCTAATCTAAATCCCTCCTGGTGAAGTATAATCCCATTTCCTCTAGTGTGAACCTTTCTGGTGAGGATGAACGAATATACTGCCCATGATCCTCATGTAAAGAATAACCCTTTACATTCTAGAATACGTGTACGTTATACTCTACCCACCCCTTAACTGTGGGGAATACGTTCCAAGATCCCTGGTGGATGGCTGAAACTGCTGGTACCCCTGAACCCTATATATGTTTTTTTCCTGTACATAGATTCCTATGATAAAGTTTAATTTATAAATTAGGCAAGGTAAGAGATTAACAGTAATAACTAATAATAAAATGGAACAATTACAACAATATACTATAATAAAAGTTATGTGAAGGTAGTCTCCTTTGCTCTCAAAATATCTTATTGTACTGTACTCACCCTCCTTCTCGTGATGACACGAGATGATAAACTGCCTGCGGAGATGAGATGAAGCGTGGTGAATGACGTAGGCGTTGCGACAGAGCGCCTCAGAACGCCGACCATCTACTTCCGGACCATGGGTGCCGGTGGGAAACGGAAGCCGCAGAAAGCGGATCGGCGGATAAGCGGGGAATATTGAATGTGAGGCTCTCTTGAACTATAAAGTGGATCTCAACAAGGCGAGCAGCGAACGAGCAACCGTCAGGTAAAGTAATAACAACCCAAAAGTTACCGTTGTCACAGAGACTAACAGAAGCCCTGTAATGTAGGGTCCTTGAAGTAAAGAGATGTGAGTTCTTATCTCCGCTCTACTCCACTAGCACTCTGGGTTACCTTAGAGGGTTGGATTAAATATAATCATGATTGAGGACTTACTATGAGCAAGGTGTTTTAATTAATCCTAATAACTCTTTTTTATTTTAATGTTTATTTTTGAGAGAGAGCGTGAGCGGGGGAGGGGCAGAGACAGGGACAGAATCCGAAGCAGGCTCCAGGCTCTGAGCTGTCAGCACAGAACCTGACGCAGGGCTGGAACTTACTAACCAACCGGGGGGTTGTGACCTGAGTTAAAGTCGGGAGTTTAACCGACTGAGCCACCTAGGCACCCCTAATTCTTACAACTGGCCCGCAAGGTAGGAGGAATTATTATCATCATTACCGTTATGATTGTAATCATTTCCAAATGAGGAAACAGAGGTTTAGAAAGCTTAACTACTTTGCCTACAGGCACACAGGTGACTCCCAGGCTGTGCCTGTACAGTGTACCTCCGATCTTCAAGTTATTCCAGCTTCACAGTGATGGGCTCTAAAAAGGGAAACATAACAATGGGAAGTGGGGGGTGGGTTTCCTTATCAAAGTCACTGCACCTCCCCTAACCTTATCGTGGGTAATTGAAAGTTAACGCTGTGTGTTAATATATGATGATCAGCTGTTCTGTTTCTACACTCGGGACAGAGATACTCAGAAGAAAGTAATGTCTCCTTGTCAAGATCATTACAAATGAAAATGGTTACCAAGGGAAGTGGTGGTGTCTACTATTCTGTCTTTAAAAATAAGAAATATTCGCAATTGTTTGGGGTCGAATCTGGTCCTACCTGAAGTCATTCTTCCAAGTCCTGATCAATCATGAACGCTGATGATTAGGTGGTCCTTTGGCTCTGCAGTACAGATAACTGTTGTCTCCTTCCCTCCTTCCTTCCTTCCTTCCTCTCCTTGTCCTTCTTTCTTTTTGAAACAACCAGAGGTGAGGTGGGGCCAGGGAGAGGGGGTGATAGGGAAATGAATGAAGGTGATCAAAAGGCATAAACTTCCACCTATAAGATAAATTAAGTTCTTGGATGTAATGTACAGTGTGGTAACTATGAGTTGCTTAAAAAAATAGATCTTAAAAGTTCTCATCACAAGGAAAAAAAAGTTTGTAACTATGTGAGCTGACAGATGTTAACTAAGCTTACATGGTAGTCATTTTGCAATACATACATATATCAAATCATTACCTTGTACACCTTAAACTTATACAATGTTATATGTCAATTGCATCTCAAGAAAATTAGGGAAAAAATGTTAATTACAAAACAACTATACATTCATTGAGAAGAAAAATTAAAGTATAATAGGCATACAGAAAGTAAAAAAATCGGGGGGGGGCTCTGGGGTGGCTCAGTTAGTTGGTTAAGTGTCTACTCGGGCTCAGTCATGATCTCACGGTTGGTTCATGGGTTCGAGCACAGGCTCTGTGCTGACAGCTCAGAGCCTGGAGCCTGCTTCAGATTCTGTGTCTCCCTCTCTCTCTCTGCGCACCCCCCTCGCCCCCCTCCCCCCCCCCCCGCTCATGCTCTATCTCTCTCTGTCTGTAAAAACAATAATAAAATGTTAAAAAAATTATTTAAGAAATTTTAAAAAAAGATTAAAGTTCTCACTTGCCATCTTTCCACTCCCTTTCTCCAGGTGGTAACCACTGCTAATAGTTTGATGTGTATCCTTAGGGCATTCTCAATTCATTTACAAAGAAAAAGGAAGGAAAGAAGCAAAGAGAGGAATAAAGGAGTTATTTTTACAGAAATGAGATAATATCAGGGCACCTGGGTGGCTCAGTAGGTTAACCATCTGACCCTTGATTTCAGCTCAGGTCATGATATCACAGTTTGTGAGATCAAGCCCTGTGTCAGACTCTGTCTTGGCAGCGAGGAGCCTGCTTGGGATTCTCTCTCGCTCTCTCTCTCTCTCTCTCGCTCTCTCTCTCCCTCTCCCTCGCCCTCGCCCTCGCCCTCCCCCCCCCCCCCTGCTTGCACACTTGCATATGTTCTCTCTCTCTCTCTCTCTCAAAATAAATAATTTTTTTAAAAACGAGATATTATTATTCATGTTCTTCAGTAGCCTAGTTCTTTCACACAAAAGTATCTCATACACATCTAATATTTATGCTTTCTTTTAACAGCTGCACAGTATTTATTAACCCAGATGGCCATAATTTGTTAACCATGGCCCTGTTGATAGACATTTAAATTGTCTCCAATTTGTTCTTATTCCAAGCCATGCTACAGTGAGATCATTGCCCACATATCTGTTGGCACTTTATGTGAATATTTCTAGGGACAAGGGGGAGAGCTGGGTCAAAGTTATAGCAATTTCTGTTTTGATAGGTCCTGTCAAAGTGTCTTTCCAAGTCTCTAAGAAGTTACATGTCTACCAGTTATTAGTTTAGGGTTTTTTTTTTTCCTAATTCTTTATATGTATTAGAAACAATTCTTACTTCCACAAAACAAGCAAATAGAAGTAATGAATAGGGGCACCTGGATGGCTCAGTCAGTTACACCTCTGATTCTTGATTTGGGCTCAGGTCATGATTTCATGGTTCGTGAGTTCAAGTCCCACATCAGGCTTTGTGCTGATGGCATGGAGCCTGCTTAGGGTTCTCTGTCTCCCTCTCTCTCTGCATCTCTCCACTTGCTCTCTCTCTGTCTCTCTCTCTCTCTCTCTTTCTCTCAAAAATAAAGAAACATTTGAAAAACAAAGAAGTAATGAATAGAGCATATACAAAGCCTTAAGGATTATCATTTAAGGATACTTTTACATCCTTCTTTCAATTTTTTATGAAACTGTGATTTTATAGAGAAAAAGTAGCAAGCATGAAGTTGGGTTTTTTCTTGCTTTTTTTTTTTTAATTTTTTTTTTCAACGTTATTATTTATTTTTGGGACAGAGAGAGACAGAGCATGAACGGGGGAGGGGCAGAGAGAGAGGGAGACACAGAATCGCAAACAGGCTCCAGGCTCTGAGCCATCAGCCCAGGGCCTGACGCGGGGCTCGAACTCACGGACCGTGAGATCGTGACCTGGCTGAAGTCGGACGCTTAACCGACTGCGCCACCCAGGCGCCCCATCTTGCTTTTTTTTTTTTTAAGACATTTTCTTCAGAGTAATTTCAGGTTCATAGCAAAATCAAGGGGAAGATCCATAGATTTCCCATATACTCCCTGCCCAGTAGACTCTCCCATTGTCAATAGTCCCAACCAGAGTGTTACATTTGTTACAACTGATAAACCTACATTGACACATTATAATTACCCAAAGTCCATAGTTGACATTAGGGTTCACTCTTGGTGGTGTATTTTCTATGGGTTTGAACAAATGATAAATATCCATCATTATAAAGTACCCTTCCCTCCTCCCCAATCCCTGGCAACCATTAACTTTTTATTATCTGCAGAATTTTGTCTTTCCCAGAATATTATATAGTTAGAATCATACACTGTGTAGCTGATTTCAGACTGCTTCTTTCACTTAGTAATATGCACTCAAGGTTCTCCCATGTCTTTTTGTGCCTTGAGAGCCCATTTAGTTTTAGTGTTAATTAATATTCTAGTTTCTGGATGTACCATAGTTTATTTATCCATTCACCTACTGAAAGACATTGTGGATGCTTCTAGGTTTGGGCACTTATGAATAAAGCTGCTATAATCACCTTTGTACAGGTTTTTGTGTGAGCATAAGTTTTCAGTTCCTCTGGGTAAATACCAAGGAATGCAACTGCTGGATCATATGTGAAGACTTGTTTAGTTTTGTAAGAAATCACCAACTATCTTTCCTAGTGACTGTACCATTTTTCATTCCCACCAGCAATCAATGAGAGTTTCTGTTGTTCCACCTCTTCCTTGCCATTTGGTATTGTCCGTGTTGTGGATATTAGCCATTCTAATAGGTATGTAGTGATAGCTCATTGTTGTTTTAATTTGCAGTTCTCTAATGACATATGTGATATGGAACACCTTTTCAGGTGCATATTTGCCATCTGCATGTCTTCTTCCATGAGGTATCTGATAAGATTTTTCTTATCCCACCTTTTAATCAGATTGTTTATTTTCTTCTTCTTGAGTTTTAAGGGTGCTTTGTATATTTTGGACACAGTTCTTTATCAAATGTGTCTTTTGCAAGTATTTCCTCCCAGTCTCTGGCTTGTCTTCTTATTCTCTTGACATTATATTTCACAGAGCATAAGTGCTTAATTTTAAGGAAGTTCAGCTTATCCATTATTTCTTTCATGGATCATGCTTTTGGTGTTGTATCCAAAAAATCATCACCATACCCAAGGTCATCCAGGTTTTCTCCTATGTTATCTTTGGTTTTATCATTTCACATTTTACATTTAGGTTTTGACCCATTTTGAGTTAATTTTTGTGAAGGGTGTAAGATTTATCTAGATTCTTTTTTTTTTTTTTTTTTTTTTTTTTTTTGCATGTGGATGTCCATTTGTTCCAATACCATTGGTTGAAGAGACTGCCTTTTCTCCATTGTATTGCCTTTGCTCCTGTGTCAAAAATCAGTTGACTCTGTTTATGTGGGTCTACATCTGGCCTCTCTATTCTGTTCCCCTGATCTGTTTTTTCACTAACAGCACACTGTCTTGACTACTCCAGTTTTTATACTAAGTTTTAAAGCCAGGTAGTGTCCATCCTCCAATTTGTTCTTTGATGTTGTATTGTCTATTCTGGGTTTTATGCATCTCCATAAAAACTTTGTAATCAGTTTGTCAGTGTCCACAAAATAACTTACTGGAACCTTGACTGGGATTGCACTGAATCTCTAAATCAAGTTTGGGGAGAACTGATAATGTTGTGGGTTTTTTAAAAAAAAATTTTGAAGTAAAATTCATTTACAGTGAAGCGCACATATCTGAAGTGTACAATTCAATGAGTTTTGATAAATG